GAGATCGACGAGCCATCCAACCTGGGTGCCAACACATTCTTTGCATGCGACGTCGAAGAAATGTTAGATATACTCGACGACAAGACGCCGCTCAATTGGCCATGGGGTGTTGAACGTGTTGAGATCTCGAAAGGCCATGCCCTCGCGAGCCAGATCCTCCTTAAGAGACGACTTCGAGCAGGACACAACTTCGAGCTGCTCACTGGCACCGACCTAAGGTCACCCACAAACCAAAGTATAGTTCTCGAATATTTAAAAGTAGGTACGTCTTTAGTTGTGCTGATGGCGCCTGTTTGCACTCCCTATTCTCCATCTGGGCCGAATCACTGCGATCTGCAGAACCGATCGCCAGATTCTGTGGCGAGATAGCGTTGTACCAACTGCGCCGCAATAGGCACTTCCTGTGCGAGCAGCCTCACGGAACCACAGTGTTCAAAGTTGCACCTTGGCCGACCCAAGAGTTGTAAAAGCATAGCCTTTGACCAATGCCAAGTGGGCCAACACCAACCGCGGTCCTGCAAGGAAGTCCGCAGAACTCCTGCAGCCGTTCGTAGGTAAAGTATGCGCAGCTGCACAGGTCAGCGTATAGACACGCAGTGCTGACCGGACAGGCCGCCAAGCGGGCGCAAAAGTGGCATATGAAATGTGCTCCAAACCTGCCTACGGCGTAGAACGCCTAGTGGTCTCTGAGCTCAAGCACCTTCGCAAAAGCGACTTTGAGTTCAAATATCCAACAGTAGCCACGGGCACATCTGATGGAACTGACGGGCCAGCTTCCGAGGACATGCAGTGGCGCAAATGCAAAGGCTGTTTGTGGCGCCTACACGCAAGACGCCAGACACTCACGTGTTCCGCCCAAGGTCTTCAAACACTCACACCTTCGGAGCTGACTGCAGGCACGCCATCACCTCAGCCATATGCACGTGTCCGTGCAGAGGAACAGCCAACAGAAGCAGCTCATCCAGCTCGCGCCCTCCTTCGGTCCACGACTCGGGCGGCGACGCCTTTAACCTCGCAAGATGGTGGCTTCTTCATCGTTCAGGCCCTGCTCTCCATCGAAGATGAGCACTTGCACAATGGCCATCCACTGGTCCAAACCGTGGAGGATTTCTGCGGTCGAGTGGCCGGTCAGTTCTACTGCCATGGCCCATCGAGTACCACGGTCCACTAGGTGGAGTACAACGTGTTGTGTGCGTCCTGACTTGATGAAGATCAGGTCGCCCTCGACCTCTATGTTGAACCCAGTCACGAGTCGGCTGCTGCCTCGCCCACTGACTGCACACGCGGCAGGCGTCCACTATTCGATCCCTCAATAGGGTCCAACGTCTTGGATGGCGTTCCAGGTTCAGAATGTGGCGCGTGCGACCAGCGCTTGCATGCCATCGCCGCCGCCTGATGCGAAGCTAGCGGATGATCCTCCGCTCGCCAGCTTCATAAATGAAGCGAATTCCGCGCAGTGAAAGATCCGACGTCAAAGCTGCTGCAGTCTCTTTCGCCTTCGCGATAGCTCTGGCCACGGCTCAAGCTTCAGGACCTTCAGCTGGCAGTCCTTAGTCTGCTGGTGGAGGAGGATCACTCAGGTGTTGAGAGATTGCGTACACAAGATCGGCTCTCAGATGCCTGAGCCGAATTCTTGCCGAGGCGGTGTACGCCGTTCAAAGCAGTCTTCGGGCGCGTGCAGCCGATGCTGCCAGATGTGATGGCTGTCGCCGATGACACTGGAGCCCCTTCTTCGGGGCACAGCCACCAGAAGTGGCGCAGCCAAGCACCGCATCACTAGAGCCTTTAAGACGGTCACTAGAGCAACTGGCGAACAGCCCGAGTACACAGTTGGTGACCAGGTCGAAGCTGATGGCCCATGCCCATGCTGGAAACTTTTAGATGGACTTGATCGGCCACCAAGAGCCGTCGAGCTTCGAGTGTACACCACACACACTCGCAAGGCAGTCATCGAAAGGAATGATGACCTTCTCACACCCCAAGAAGTTGAGGAAAACCATGCCTTGGTGACCCAAGCCATCATTTATGAGCTGAAAACATGGCAAAACTTTTGCGGCTTCACTCGGCAGAAACGCCGCGAAGCCACCAACTTGATAGACACCACGTCAATGTACAAGTGGAAAGTCAAAGGAAGCAAGGGCTTCATTCGAACACGCTTATGCCAGGACGGGGTTCTCGCATTGTAAGGGCGCGAGCAAGGAGGAACTGGCACGTCGCACCGCCGGAATGTCTTCGAACTGGTTGGAGAAGCCGTGCCATGCCTTTGCTGCTGAAAGGATATGATTCCTCCAATCCTCTCCCCAAGAGGAGGTTCTCTTCAGTGCTTGAAGCCCGGCGCTGGATGCCAACATGCACCACAAGCATTCAATGCCCGTCTAAGACAGGTCATTGAAGCCTTCGGCTTCCGATCATCCCAAATGGATTCCGCATGGGAGTTCCTGCAACGCTCAAGGCGAGGTCGTAATGCTGCTCATCAAACACGTGGATGACTTGAAGCTAGCAGGACCTCGTGCGTTAGTGGATAGTTTCATCGAATAGGTAGGGGAAACTTTTGGCGCTATCGAGGTATCGCAACCATTTCACTTTCTGTGGAGTGGAACATAAGCAAGATGCAAGTTCACGCCAGATCACACTCACTCAACCAAAAAAGTTCATCAGCGCCATAAGGCCAATGCCAGTACCCACCAACACTCTCCAAGATGGAACTCTCCATGAACAAGAGCGCAGGCACTTCCTGTCACTGCTCGTGACAGTGGTCTACGGTCTCCTCACAAGACCGTTTGCGGCCGCGTATGTTACAGCACTTCAGGTGGCTGGACTCAGGCTTTCGAGCCGAGAGCTCCAGTGATGGCCTCAGCGTTCGAGGCATGATCAATTTGAGAATGACCGCAACGCAAGCCAAGCGCCTACCTGAAGGAGGCCCCCTCAAAGGCCCAACAGCGTGTAACGCGATTCACATTCGCGAGCGAGCTGTTCGCACCATGATGCCATAGACCAGGCAGTGCTCGCACTTGAGGAACTCTACGAAGGAACGCTGTCAGAGAACGTCCTCGTGATGATTGACGCACTGTCAGGCAGCAAGACTGTAGCCTCTTGGTCCACTTAAAGTGGCTGAGGCGGCCGCCGGATCTTGAGAGAATTTTGTGGTGCGACGCCAGGGACATGCCCGCAGATGGCCTGAGGGCTCAGTGGCCCGTGGCCTTCTCGATTCTCGACCTTGCAACGCAGGGAACCATACTGTCCCTGCGAGCGTTTGTAGAACAGCAGCCCGAGTGAGTAGGTGCCACGTGAGTCCCGCTGGTCACAAAGAGCCAGGCCGACTCGATGCACATATCCACCGCAGCGTGGTTGACCAAGCGTACAGCTATAGCGAAAAGGGTTTTCTGAACCGCTGTTGGGTTTCTATCTGTTGCCCATAGTTTTGTTTCTAGTGGTTTGTCCCCAAAAAGGGCGTGGAAGCATCAAGGGCAGAGCTTTGCTGTCTAGTCACGACTCAGCAGGTTGATAAGGTTTGCCCTAGAGCCCGGACTTGGTTCATGCTGCTTTACCCGGCCAGTTCAGGAATTTCCTTGCAGAGTTGTCATCAAGGGTGCTCCTGAGAAGATCTTGAGCCTGTGCAAAACAGGCCAAGACTTCGATTGCAAACTAAGAACCTTGGCTTGCAACTTGCGGGGGTTTTGCAAGAATTGAACCTGTGGGAACCAAGGAGGGCTCATGAAGAGGCATGCTCCGAGTGGAGCACCCATAGTGCAAGCTGTTGAATTTGAAAAATGTTTGTGCCAACAGACTTTGACGTTTTCAGCAGGGGCTTGCGGGTTGTTGGCCTGGCCAGCCGGCAGCTGAAGGCAGCAGAAACGCCAGAAACATTTGAAGGAGCGGAGCTTTGGGTTGTGCCGGTTTGGCTGCCCCCGTCTGTGGGGTCAAGATGGGTCAAGCGTCCTCTCAGTGAGAAGACGGGCTCGTGTTTGGCTTAGTTATGTAATCACCAGAGAATGCTCGCCGTCAAAGGTGGTGCATTACGTGCTGGCGCCCTTTACACAAACAAAACTGGGTACCTGTGCAAAGAGAAACGTTTTTTGACTCAATCATTTCCAAACGAGTCACAATATCAGCGATTGAACCAAAAGTCGTTGGGTGGATTGAGTCTTGGGAAATTTATGTAAACGCGTTCATCGCCTGGCCTCATCAGGAGCTGCTCTGAGCGATTGCAACTTCCCGGTCTCCGGCTTTGATCTCTTGGGTTTCTTTGCTATCGAGGCTTCTTTTGCTCCAATCCAATAACTGTTGGCCGATTTGTTTCTGGAGTTTTGTTTTTTTCTTGGGCCAGGACCCACCAAGAGATGGCGTGAAGCAAGCAGTGATGAAATGTAAGGATGCAGGGGTGAAGGCCAGTACGACAGGGGCGTTGAAACCTTGAGACATTCACTTCAGGGTTTGGAGTCTCTACTATGCCACCATGCGCAGTTCTCACATCATTCTGGATGCAAGCACTGGCATGCTGCAGAAACAACTGCAGGTGGTCATGGTGACTGGTGACCACCCAGCCACCGCCAGGGCAATCGCAAAATGTGTCTCAATTTTGGGGGAAGATGAAGAAGATGATGGAAAGAAGTCGGAGTCTTTCAAGGCCTGTGCTGCATGCTGGCCATTCATTTTTAAATGATGACTCTGTCACTTAGCTTGCAAATAAACCTTGTTCTTTGGACCCGAGGTCTTGGAAGGTGATGCTCCCCGCTTGGACATGCATGGACGTTATAATATCAGCGTGATTGGTTCAATGATTGCTTGGTATGCTCAACACTTTATTCATTCATTTTTTACTGTCATTTCCTTCATTTCTTTTTCTCTTGAGGACCTGGATTCTCATTTGCCGGAAGAAGATTTCAACGGCCTCTCTGCGAGCTCACAGGTGGAAACAGTTCCTTGCACATTCTCAATTGCAGGCAAGAAGAAGCATGGAACATGCTGTTGTTTTGGAGGCGTTTTGGCAACAAGCAGTTCAACGTGCGAGGCGTCCAATTAAGTCTTTTTCTACACTTTGTCATGATGAGGTTTGAACATGTTCAGGCTTGAGGCACAGTAGTGTTTGTTTCACACGCATGCATGTTCTTTTCTGCTGGAAATATCACGTGGCACTTTCCAGACATACCTGCAATCCGTCCGCAGGGTCTTTGCGCGAGTGTCCCCCCTCCACAAGCGAATCATCGTGCAGGTCTCTTGGTGATAGCTATCGCAGATGCCTCTGAATTGAATCTGAACTTAGTATTGGCTTCTCAGAGGTCTAAGGCTTGGACACCTAGGTTTGTATCATCAGATCCCATGGTGGGTACTCAACAGCCACAGCATGGTGTCAGAGGAGCCCTAACAGCTCCTCGGGCGAATGCTCGAGTGAACAGCTGAACAGCTATGGCTGAAATGGGCTGTCTTGAATTCCAAGACAGAAACTGGGCCAGAGGTGTTCATGACAGGCACATGCCTGGTGAGCAGCAACATGGAGTAGGGGTGGGTGGGCACCACTGCAACTGCAAGGGTTTTGTGCGATGGTGTGATGGCACGGATGTAGATTGCATTTCTGGACTCTCTCACGCAAGAGGAATGCCTTCCACAAGTCGACAGCGAGAATCACAGCAGAGTGTCGTGCCCACCACAGGGCGCAACAAATAGGGTATATAAATCCAAATGAATTTGGGCGGAGTTGGTTTTCGTTGCGCACCTGACACTCGGTTGCCAAGCGAACTAGATTTTCGGCACTGTGCATGAGCATTAGCCTATGCTCCTGGTTTGTGCACGTTTGGTCTCTTCTTATTGCAGCTTCAGACAGTCAGACATAGGTTTCAACCGCGAACCCTTCTTCTAAATAAATAGTAAGTGTGTCAGTGTGTCAGACATAGGTTTCAACTGTGAACCCTTCCTCCGAACTTTGCGACATTATATGCAAACTTGTTTCGGTAACTGCTTGTTCTTTCCCTAGCTCTTTCCCCTGTACATATATATATATACTTGCACTGCAGCTCTGAGGCTTATCAGTTTTATGGTCAAGATGGTCTTGGTGACATTGTTGCAATGACTGGTGACGGTGTCAATGACGCGCCTGCATTGAAGCAAGCTCAGGCCAAAGATTGTCAAGGTTTGTGCTGGTGTTGCTTCCCTTCTTCTTGTGCCTGTTCCCTGCAGGTGGGGATAGCAATGGGAATACGGGGCACTTCGGTAGCGCAGGACGTGTCTTGCACGGGTGGTGGTGCCCATAACACAAAACCGGCCATGGTGATCTTACGAAATCCAGCTGATAGGCCAGGCTAAAGCTCTGTTTAATGGATTGACAAAATGCCCTTGTGATGCGAATGATGCCGCAACACTTGATGCCAGCATTTTTTGCATAATCAACTGGACATGATTGCATTTTTTGGAGTGCTTTGGAAATTTTGTTGGCTCCAGTATGATACTTGATTTGCAATATTGTCGTTTTAGTTCGTGGTCAAGCCATGCGTGAAGTCAAGCCGCGAGTGAAAGGAAGGATAGTGAGACCTCCCTGGATTTGGATGCAGAGCGCCGGCCTTGTATTAGCTTTACCTTTTGTATGTATATAATTTGTTCTTTTTAGTTGCCGCCTGATGAAATAGCAGAATCTGTTAGTTCTCTCTCTCAATCTTCATCAAAACCTCTACCCCATTTGCCTCATCTTCAGATTAGCTTGCCTTAGAATTCTTGTCATAGTTGAAGCAAGCAGAGAATAACCCTTTTTCTCCGTGTCACTAGGTTGTGAAGGTGTTGGATCCATAGCAGGAAAGCTTAGAGATCCTTCGGGCTTTGTTTCTTCTGCCCACCAGCCGGGAAAAAGAACAGCCCCTAAGCCAAATTCCTGGGTTGGTGCCCTTTTGCGTGGTGCTTGAGTCTCTAAGTGCGTGCTGGGGCAGACAAGGAGACTTCCGAAAAGCGGGTTCTAGCGAGAAGGCCTTTGATAAAGCGGGACACGGAAACAATGACTTGCCTGTTCCCCCAGAAAAACCGTGAAGGCCATCTGGAGGCAAAAAGGGTGCAGGCTCTTCTGAACAGGTGGGTTCTGGCACCAAGTTCACCCAGAAAAGAAATTAAGGATTGATTTTTCCCGAAAGCATTGCGAAGGGTTCTTCCGGAAAATCCCTTGAACGCTGACACTTCGACACTTACACTTACACACTGACATTTCCACAGTTGCACTACAACATGAACGCTATACGCACCCCAGTGTAAGTGGAAGAGCGAAAGCGTCCAAGTGCAAAGTATGCAAGCGTCAAAGTATGCAAGTGCAATGATGAGCATGCAAGCATGCAATGAGTATGCCAGCATGCAATGAGCATGCAAGTGTGCGCATGGAAAACTAGCACGGGAGATGTCCTAATGAAAAACATTTCCCCACTTTATAAATTCTCTCTTAAAGGCGGAGGGTGGGACGAACAGCGTCAACCGAAAATGCAACCCTCTGCGGAGATCGTGCGTGTCGAGTGCGCGAAAAGCAGGCGAGAGCGCGATTTGTCCGGTGCCCGCGCAACCCTCTACGGAGATCGTGCGTGTCGAGTGTGCGAAATGCAGGGGAGAGTGCCGCGCGTCGGCTGCCCGCGCAACCCTCTGCGGAGATCGTGCGTGTCGAGTGCGCGAAATGCAGGCGAGAGTGCCGCGCGTCGGCTGCCCGCGCAACCCTCTGCGGAGATCGTGCGTGTCGAGTGCGCGAAATGCAGGCGAGAGTGCGATTGAGTCTGTGCGCGCGCAACCCTCTGCGCAGATCGTGCGTGTCGAGTGCGCGAAATGCAGGCGAGAGTGCGATTGGGTTTGTGCGCGCGCAACCCTCTGCGGAGATCGTGCGTGTCGAGTGCGCGAAATGCAGGCGAGAGTGCGATTGGGTCTGTGCGCGCGCAACCCTCTGCGGAGATCGTGCGTGTCGAGTGCGCGAAATGCAGGCGAGAGTGCGATTGGGTCTGTGCGCGCGCAACCTTCTGCGGAGATCGGGCGTGTCGAGCCCGCGAAATGCAGGCGAGAGGTGTACTTTGTAGTATAACTTTAGTGCGCGGAGTATCTGGGGAGCTGGAAGCTGAGAACTGGCGACTTTGTAGTACAACTTTAGTACGCGGAGTATCTGGCGAGCTGGAAGATGAGAACTGGTGACTTTGTAGTACAACTTTAGTACGCGGACTAGCTGGGGAGCTGGAAGATGAGAACTGGCGACTTTCTGGTACAACTTTAGTACAAGGAGCAATCTGTGGAGCTGGAAGCTGAGAACTGGCGACTTTGTAGTACAACTTTAGTACGCGGAGTAGCTGGGGAGCTGGAAGATGAGAACTGGCGACTTGGTAGTACAACTTTAGTATGCGGAGTAGCTGGGGAGTGGGAAGATGAGAACTGGTGACTTTGTAGTACAACTTTAGTAAGCAGAGCAATCTGTGGAGCTGGAAGCTGAGAACTGGCGAGTTTCTAGTACAACTTTAGTACGCGGAGCAATCTGTGGAGCTGGGAGCTGAGAACTGGCGACTTGGTAGTACAACTTTAGTGCGCGAAGTATCTGGAGAGCTGGAAGATGAGAACTGGCGACTTGGTAGTACAACTTTAGTACGCGGAGTATCTGGGGAGCTGGAAGATGAGAACTGGCGACTTTGTAGTACAACTTTAGTACGCGGAGTATCTGGGGAGCTGGAAGACGAGAACTGGTGACTTGGTAGTACAACTTTAGTACGCGGAGTATCTGGGGAGCTGGAAGATGAGAACTGGCGACTTTGTAGTACAACTATCTGGGGAGCTGGAAGACGAGGACTGGTGACTTGGTAGTACAACTTTAGTACGCGGAGTATCTGGGGAGCTGGAAGATGAGGACTGGCGACTTGGTAGTACAACTGTAGTAGGCGGGGTATCTGGAAAGCTGGAAGTTGAGAACTGGCGACTTGGTAGTACAACTTTAGTACGCGGAGTATCTGGGGACGGCCAGATGAGAACTGACGACTCTGTAGTACAACCTTAGCACACTCAGTATCTGGGGAGCTGGAAGATGAGAAGTGGCGGCTTTGTAATACAACTCTAGGACGCGGTGCGCAAATGCTCACGACGATGAGCTCAAATGCTCACGACGATGAGCTGGGCTGTCACCGCTTGGCCGGCGGTGGGGGGTTTGGGAGGCCTGCGCGCTACTTCGTTCACTACAGTGAAGACCTTCACCAGCAGCAGACATGGACACACACACAGACAGGGACTCATACACACACACATCACACACAGAGACCCACGCACTGCCTCAACTTACTCGGACACACAGCGACCCACACACTACCTCAACTCACTCGACTTAAACACTTCACACTGAACACTTAACAGATAACTCACACTCTGACTTCCTACGTGATGGAAAATGCTTTCGGGCCACTCGTCGTCTAGTTGTTGGTGCCCTTGTGCACCTTGTTTGAAGGCCGTCTCGGGGCAAACGAGACTCTTGACAAAGCAGGACATGGCAGATGCACCTTCAAACATCTTAATTGAATCTTGCGAGCTGCTGCTTGAGATGAGTTTTTGCAGATTTGTGGGGGCAAACCTGTAAGTCGCGGGACCTTTGGCTGCTGCTTGAGACGAGTTGTCGGTGCAGGTGTGGAAAGACAGTACTGTAGGTCTATATGCAGGGAGTCGGAGTTTCTTGGTTGATGCGCTTTGGCGTTTGAAGGCCGTCTCGGGGAACAAAGGGCGCACATGAAAAAGTGGATCCTAGCCAAGTTTGCCAAGTTTTGGCGCCTTGTTTGAAGGACGTGTTGGGGCAAAAGAGTACACCTCTGAAAAGCGGGTTCTGGCGACAAACCCCTTGACAAAGCAGGACATGGCAGATCCATCCATCTTTGAGCTTTTGAATTTAGTCTGGCGAGCCGCTGCTTTGTCGATGCAGGTGTGGAAAGACGGCGTGCTTTGCAGATCTAGATGCAGGCAAAGAAAAACCTTCAAGCCGCACTTCTGGGTTGGTGCCCTCTTGTGCTTTGTTTGAGGGCCGGGCCATCTCGCAGCAAAAAGGGCACCTCTGGAAAAGTTGATTCTAGCAACAAGTTCCCCAGAAAAGACCTTAAGGATGAGTTTTTGTTGGTGCCCTTTAGTGGGTTAGTCGGTCGTTTGCCTGTAACTACAGGTTATCAGCCGTATCGCCATAAGTGCGGTACGTGCTTGATTGTAGCCTAGGTCACCTCCACCGTAGGTGGTGCAGTGACCATGGCTGATGGCGAGGACCGTTCCCGTGACGATCGCCCCAGGTCAGGATATGTTCCGACGTCCCCTGCAATGTCTAGTTCCTTACCAGAAGAACTTCCTCTTTCGCCATTGGACCTCCGTGGGCCTCCTGAGCCTCCATCGTCCATCGCGCAGGGGAACCTGTTGCCTACTGTTCCCGGACCGTCTCCGATCGGCGTCGAAACGTCGCCAGTGTTGAATGTGCAAAATGTTGATGCCCGACAAGTTCATCAACAAGCAATCTTCGTGAACCAAGATCGATCAGCACAGGTGGCTCAGATTGCTGAGCTAAGGCATCCAGCCTTGATGGCCGAACGCGGGCAACAGTTTGTTGATGAAGCTAGGCAGTTTAGGGATGTCACAGCCGACGAGGCTAGAGCTTTCGTTGAGGGAATGAACGACATGAACCAAGCCCATCAGCCCATCAAGCCCAACAGTTGCAAGACCAAAGGGCTTACCTCGATCGAATCGCTTTTGAAAGACATTCAGTCGTAGAGAGTGAAAGGGCGTTTGCAAGGCAAAGAGAGGATGCCCTCCGGTCCGATCGCTGAGCAGAGTCGAATCATCAAAGAGTTGAGAGAGATAGGTTTGACAACGCCTCGGGGATCCGAGTGCCTGCATCTCCAGTGCAGCCGCTTGGGTCTCCAGATTCCCCAGCTATGCCTCCTGCGAGTCTTCGCACTCGGGAGAAGTCCGGGAATCCTGGTGGAGGAGAGCCTCATCCCTATTTCATGCTGACGAAGAGGAGGAACGAAAGTCCAGGAAGGACAAGAAAGAAAAGAGAAAGGAGAAGAAACAGGACAAGAGTCCTAGAAGAGGACGATCAAAAGAAAGGAAGAAAAAGCGTTCTCCTTCTCCGCCGCCATCCGATTCGTCTGACAATGACAGCGGTTCTGATGACTCAAGTTCTGAATCATCGCGTCTGGCTCGCATCATCCGCAAGGAGCTGAAGAAGCAGCAGAAGAAAGCTAAGGACAGGGATCGTGACACTAAGGCCTTGAAAGAGGCTGACAAGATCCTGAGTCCTAAGTTCCCCACACCGGACAAGTATCGTGATTGGGAGACCAAGGTGCGGGACAACATTGCTGCAGCTTCAGCGAAGCCGGATGAAGCAAGGATCTTGGTAGTAGGCAAAGTGTATGCCGATTCTCAGACCATTGACGCGCTCGATGATTCAACGCCAAGTTGCTTGCCAGCTTGACTAATTGCGCTGAGGGGGACCTCGGTCGTCAGATCGCCACCTTCAAAGAGTGCGGGCGCGAGAAGAGAAGCCTGTGAAGGGTAGGCGCTTGCTGTTGCGCTTTCATGAGTATTTCGCCACCAGCATCAAACGTGGTGCGATCTACGGACTGGAAGACTTGATGTCCGTGAAAATGGTCAATGATGACTTGAAGGGGTTCATCAACAATAATAGCGTGTTGGCAGGGATGAAAAAGGAACCAGAAGACAATGTTCTTGAAGCCTATTTTCATCTCGCGGTCAAGCGCTTCAAGCCACTTGAACATGATCTTGCTCTTTACGATCGGGCTGCGGAAGGCAGAAGAGAGAGATCGTATGAGTTCCTGATCACGGCTTCAAGGGCCTATCTCGAGTGCAAGAGGCTTGAGAAGATGCGCTTCGTTCGCTCGGGGCCAAAGACACAGCTTTCGAATTCCAGAAGACCGGAAAATGCAAACGTGGGGCATCATGTCCTTACAAGCGCGAGAAAGGCCGCGACAAAAGCAAAGGAAAGGGGAAGGGCAAGGATCGCAGTCAGTCACGTTCAAGATCACTCACTCCATGCTCTCGCAAAGAAACTTGCAAGTTCTGGAAGGCTGGTCACTGCCACCGTGGCAAAGATTGCGCATTCCAGCACCCAGAAAAGACAGTCCCTGCCAAGAAAGAGGACAAGAAGAAAA